GGATCTCTTCACTGATCCAAATTTGGAGAATAAATCTGTGGAGTCTCAGAACCAGTCCCTTGTTACTACAAACAAATGCTGGCAGAGACACCTTAGATCGCTAAAAGCTAAACTGACCACCACTATTAAGAATAATTATTTATATTTCCTCTTCTTCCATAACTACATCTTCACATTCCTTTTTTTTCTACACAGATTCTTCTTCAGACTAGATATTTTGGTTGTAGATACTTCACTCAGTGAGCAAGGTTTCCACATGTTAAGGGGTAGACTGTCGCCTCTAGGTATGGCTGAGTTCAGAAGCATTCTAGTGACAACGGGCAGTTATGTAGAAACAGAGAAACCAAGTCATAACATGAGACTGCATATCAGGCTCATTAAAAATTATTGTTAAATTGTTCAGCCTGAGTTGAGCTTCCCCTTCAATTAAACTGAAATCTGGGGAAGGGGGTGTGTTCAGGTAAATTCAGAATGGAGAAGAGAATCAGATCATATTAGTCTACGCTAATCTTTGCCAGGATGCCAACATCTACATCCTGGTGTCTATTTGTACTAGATCCAAATCATTTTGTCATCCTGTGCACTGCTCTGGTAGCCTCCTTGAATAATTGGCCTTGAATTAGCCAGTTCCCTAAAATATTTTCCATCTGATCACTGCAATAGACACTCCCTGGAGCTGGCACCAGGCCAAATGGAATTGAGAAACATGTAAGGTAAAGATATGTAAAAAGGCAGCTTTGTAATGACTGTAGTGCCCACAGCTGTTTGTGGTGTCCATGGCTGTTAACCTGCTTCATAGACTGCAAAGATCCTGTTCTGAACCACCGAGGTCTTGCACGTGAATTATGCATTTTGACTTCTATAAGCAGGAAGCAAATTGAAACATGAAAGGAACTACCTACAGTGTATAGTGGTTGTCACCTGGCTGACTGACATAAAGGGGCTACCACTCTTTGGTCTGTAGAGGCTGATAATCCAAGTCTTAGTGCACAGGCTTATATAACTGTCTTCATTTAACCTTTTTTTCTCCCTGTTCCTACTCTGAAATGTATTAATGCCACTCTAGGCCAGTATCAGTCCTGGGGCTCTTGCTCACTTAAGTAATCTTGAGAGAGTCAATGTGACTCCCTGTAATAGAACTACTCAGATGAAAAGGAGTTTCAGAATAAAATATTATGAAAACTTCACCTGAGCCTACTCATCCTACCTGCATACAATGATTTAAAGAAGGAAAACCCTTCAGTTACTTAAAAAAATTCAGAACTGAAACATTCCTTCTTCCAAATAGTTTTTTCACCCTACTGCAAAATATTGTACAAAATGGAGTGTTGAAAATATATTTAATTTTCCCACCTCCATTCCTTTTAAGCTACTTGCAAATTAAGGAAATGTAACCATTATAGCTTGAACCCTGATTCTGTAAGCTGATCCAAACTCAGGGGACCTAGTATGGATGTAAAGACTCAATTGCAATGGGATGTCTTGCAGACATAATGATCAGCTTGTAAGATCAGGAAATGATGGTAATAAGATGATGATGAACTAATACAATCATAAGATAATACATTCCTTGAAGGGGAATACTTCAGTACACTAGTCTACCTCATGCTTCAGAATGCCCTTAAGGTGTGTAGTTGACTCACCAAGGGAAATATCTTGACCTGAGTTAACATTTTCATTGATTATTCAGCAGCAATGTCTTCTTTCTTCGCAGAAGACAATAAGAGAGGAAGGATCATGGGCAGGTTGCTTTTCATATTTCTGCTGGCATTTTTCCTTCCCAGTGTAGTACCCTCCGGTTCCCCTTTATTCCCAAGAGCACTAAAACTACCACAGTGCTGAACAATATAGCAGCCTTGGAAATATTGATTGGTTGTCACTTTGATACCATTCCCAACAAATAAGCACTAAAGCAGTCATTCTGGGCATATGGTCTCAGAACTCTGCTTCAACAGTAAGCTTTTAAAAACATTTGGGAATTCAGCCTCTAATACTAGGGTGACACAATTGCTTTTCCTATCCAAGGATAATCAATACAGCTCTGTGCATATACAGTGCTAGCAACACATTAAGACACAAAACGCACTTTGCTTATAGTGTTATGACAAGATGTGGTGATCATCTTTAAAGAACTGCCAGTTTTCCCTTAGGTCAGGGCTATCAGGCTTGTGGGCTGCAGGCCGCATGCAGCCTACAAGGGGTTAACTTGCTGTACCCAGGTTCCCACCTTGCCACTGCTCCCTTCATCGTTCTGGCTGCTGCCTTCATTGCTCCCTTCATCACTCCCTCCCCCAGCTTCCACTTCCTATCTGGCCCGGGGAGGTGGGGAGGGGCAGCCCATGGGGCTGGGAGAGCACGTGGCCTGGGCACCTGGGTGGCATGATGCATCCCTGGACCAGGGAGCTGGCAGTGGGGTTAGTGGAGAGGAGAGGGAATGCCCTTGCAGATGAGGCCTGTGGCCCATGGTGGTGCAGCCCATGTGGCCCCTGGCTGCTTAAAAGTTGGATAGCCCTGCCTTAGATCAACAAATAGCTCAGTATCTGCAGCATTCTAAAAAGATAATACTTAAATAGTAAAAATACGGGCAAGATTTTAAGATTCAATGCAAAGAAGAATTCCCACAGAAAAGCATGCATTATTTTGCCACCAAGGCTCTAATTCCTCAATAAATCCTGTGTAAACAGATTTCTGTGTCCAGACTGAGACACTGAAGTCAACAGAGCTGCACATGGGCATACTCACAATGAACTCTTGCAGGATCCATCCTGATTAGTATTCATCCCTACAATGACAACCTTGTCACAATACATGGGTAGTTACATGCATATGTCACACGTCAAAATGGACTTCACCCCTTTATCTTATGCACAGCCCTGCATGGAGCATCCAGAAATGACAGGCAATTTGCTAACACTTGTCTCCTCTATAACTTAAAACCCTAAGCAAAAATGGTTTGAAGGGCCTTCTGGAAGCTCAGTAATATTGAGCTTTTTACCAATTTAGTATAAGAGAAAGCTACCTTAAAATATTACAGAAATCCTTGTCAGGAAAATACAAAGATAAATGCAAAGCCAAAATCAGCCCATTATCTATCTTTCCCATAGATATTAATATGAAGCAGGCTGTAATTGTTCCTAGAAAGTTGAACTAAGATAAACATAAATAGCAGCATTCACAAATACATTTTCAAGCTCTAAATTTTCAAAGTGCAACACCCCAGGAGAGCTCAGTAAAATTTACTGCAAATGACTCAAGACTCATCAAGCCTTTTGTGCCTAACCTTTTACAGAGTCTGAATTATATAACCAGCTTGTCACGAATCACAAAGTCTTGTTGAAGACACTGTAAAAAATATTATAGCGAGAAAGAGGTAGAGAGTGAGTGCGCTCTTAAATCATGGTCCTGTACCAAACAATTTTCTCAAAGCTTTTCAAGCCTCTTTTTAAGCACCACTCCACTTGCTGGTATTTCTGCTGAATGCATTTCTTAACCCAACTACTAGGGGAGCAGATTCCAGAAGTTTGATTCAAAGCCAATGGTCATGCCATTACAGGCATCTGTTTGCCTGGGTTGCTCAGGTACATTATACACAGTCTGCTCCCCACAGAGTGATGGTAGTAATGCTGCATCTGCTATAGAGACTAAATGATCATGTGTCCACTAGTCACTGATGTTTGTTAACTAACTCACACAGGGAATCTAGTTTTGTTCAGCAATCAAGATTCTTTGCCTGGTAGGTTAGAAAGAAAAGTTATAGAGAAAAAGACCCACCAGAAGAAACCAGTGGTTTTTATGTGAGAATGCTTAAGCAAAACAGAAACTAGGTGCCTAACCAGTCAAGGCCAGACTGAGGTTTTTAAACCACAGGTCATACATAGAAATCCACCAGGAAGAATTTTCTCACCCCACAGGTACCAATCATTCCCTAAATACATGTGGGCAAGATTAGTGCATGGGATCAGTTTGCCTTAGATAGATTTACCACACAGCGCGCGTGCACACACACACACACACACACACAAACACACACACTAACCAAGTAGATGGAAAGTTCTAATTTGTCTCTGTTCACGCTTCTGATACTGCATCCATGCCTGTGGTAACTGTGTATCACACGGTCATTCCCTGACAAATCTAGCTGCTAGCTAAAGCATTTGACAGATGCCTGAACCAAAGTTCAGAAGGACCTGAATATTGTAGCTGCCATCGCATTTGCCATCAAAAGGAGAAAGCAGGAAAGAGAGAAGAAGAAAGGGAAAGTGTCTCATTCCGGAGCTGGCTCGAGTTACTCAATACATCCCAGAGCACACTGACAACATCTCACAACTGTACTGCAACATCATGCACACGTGTTAGAGTCAGAGAGAGATGGGAAAGCTAGAGTGCAAAGAAATCAGGGGATAATTTATTAAATGCATTCGTCATACTTATTTCCATAATGGAAAGTACTTCAGCTCAGGAAATGAACTGCTGCCACCACCAGCTCAATGGGTCAATAATTGCAGGTGTAACATAACTCTAAGACCACCTGGCTTACTGCACCTTTAGAGTTATCCCAGACAGTGCCTGGATTACACACAGACATAAATCCACTTCCTCTTCCTACTTATTAAATCAGCACAATAACAACAACAGCAACAACAGTAATAACAGGTATTATCTACTTGAAAATTCCACAGAATTTCTTTTGATATAATTGAAAATAGCTGTGTGCCCAGAATAAAACAGAATGACAAACTGACATCAAGATCAACTAATGAAAATACATGTAAATTATTCTACTGTATCATATATTATGCATCATTAAAACACTAAAAAAGCCATGAAGAGTTAAGCAGTGCATCTGCTCGACAACCCTTCCTGTGTGGATACTCTCCTTGGGTTCAGGAAGCATATCTTCTCTCTAAAGGCTGAGCAACAGAGCTAGATTTACCGCCTTCCAGACAAGGAACCCCCCCTTCCCTCCCCCCTCCCTCCAGTGAATAATATCTGTGTACTACCTGCATTTATCAGCACTGCAATCCCATATCTTCAGTCATTCAAAGAATTTAACAGCCTGGAAATTCCTGTTGTCCATTATTTGAGGTCACAGATAAAAGCTAAACAGCAGCCGTAACTCCCATCAATCATAAGTCAGTCACTGATAGAATGTATGGTAGGAGACCTACTGATGTAAGCGAGTCACCAGAGAAAATACCCACTGATGACGCATATCCAGGCATAAAAATAGTTACAGGGCCCCCAAAGGGATTATTCAACAGCCTACATTTAGATATTCTTACAAGAGACCTGAAGTCAATTTGCTGCTGTTAGATGGCTGGGGAGTGTTGAAGTTTAAGCTTCATCAGCAAACATAACCACAAATAGCTGGTTTAAATAAACTACTGCAATTACAAGCTGTTTTGTAAATTTTAACACTACATTACAAGGATTAAGCCTAAACAGACCTACTTACTATAAAATGCTATAGAGTCTTTTTGCTTTTATTCTGTCCTTATCCATTTACAAACTCCTTTATCACAGTAGTCAGGGGTGGAGAAAACAATTGAAAATTAATCCAGAGATATTCAAAATAAACCTCCTGTTCCACCCACCTGAAAGTAATATTTGTTTTTATAATAAAAAGAAATTGCAGCACAGTGCTTTGCCTGTGCTACAGAAACTACTCCTTCATAGCCATGATCTTCAGACAGTACTTGAGTTGAACTTTCTGCCCTCCTTGTGTCACTTCTCTATCTTCTACTTAGAAAGGATTATACTGTTAATCTTTTACCTCACAAGCCAAAACCATGTAAAAGATATAGTACAGTATTGCCCATATCCAATACAATTTTAGTGATTTTTTTACATGAATATTTAATTTAAAACATGCTTTTAAAATAAATAATCAACTGTTATTCATAATTCTCTGCTCCTTGAGGTTCTTAGGATTTTTCATATGCTGTCATGGTAATAGAATGTATTAGGCTGTAAGTGGGCCTGCCAAAATTATTGACAGCAATGTTAGCAAAATTGTTGCAACTTCTAGTAAGTATAAAATACTTGGGTGAAATCATCAAAAGCCCTCATGTAACTTAGGCCTACCCTCTACTTGTTCCCGCTCTGCATGTATCAGACTTGGAAATGAGGTGGTGATGTCCCTCTGCAGGCATCACCCCTCCAGCCCCACTTCTGTTCTCAAGTCCTCTGTGCTGGAGAGTGGCAGTGGAGTGGGAAGATGACCTCAGAGACTCATTTCTGTTTCAAGACATAGTAAGTAGGAGTGGGTAGGCAGCTGCACTCAAGAGCAGCAACCCCAAATGCATTCTCAAAAAAGTAGCAATACACCCTAAGGCTTCTCCAAGTCCCATTTTCACAACTGACACAAGCACACAAGAATCAGAATCCTACTGATTTTCAATGCAGTTTAGGCTCTAAGTGTTTTACTCACTTCTGGAAATAGGACTCTGGAGCCTAAGTCACTTAGGCACTTTTGAAACATGTTCTCCTTTACCATAGATAATCATGCATACATTTAGAGACATACCTCTCCCTATAGCAGGCAGGGGGAAAAGCCCATCTAACTTTCAGGAAGCAAAAGTTCTACCTCATTTTTTTCAACTCAAAATAAAAGTGCAAATTATTTTCGGTACAGTGATTTCAGACATCGCTCACGTTTCTCTCATGTGCATATATATACTGGCAGCTTGCATGGCCTAGTTTAAGAGCTGTAAGTAGAAAGGTTCGTTTGTGCCCTCTAGGCCACTGCCAGACGTTAATTTAATCATGTGATAGGATCTGAGGGATTTCATCCCGGATCCCCAAAATTGCGCATCCTACCAGATGTTCAAGGTGTTGCTTGGCAGGACACATAATTTTGGGGGCTGGGGATAATATTCGTTAGATCCCACTGTGCATCTGCTGAACTTGTTTGAGTTTGCCAGCACATTGGGGAGCCCAAGATCAGGGAGTCATTCCCCAATCCTAGGCTCCTCAAACGCTGACTTGTTCAAAGGGTGTATAACATGCACTTTTAATCTGCAACAAATGTAACATCTGGAGGGAGTCCTAGATAATATGTCTACCAAGTCACTAGAAAAAGCCTAGTATTGTTCCCTCCTCCTCTCATCTATTAGCCCTGTGCCCTTTCCCAGGCTGCCCACCCCAATTCCCTGCAGAGTCTAGGAATAAAGCAATTCATTTCCCAAAGAAAATGTGGGAGACAAAACAATCAAATCCTGTAGTGCACGCTATTGTAGGAGCTCTCACAACACCACAAAGCAGGTGTCATGAAGACTAGCAGAGATGCAACTGTTTAATATACCACATCACTGAAAATCTGTGAAGCAGTAAGTAGCCTTTTTAGCAAGTTTGCTAATTCAAGAGGAAAACAGAGCCTATAATGTTTCACATGCAATGTACAAAGTCTCTCACCAACAAGAAGTTATAATTCTCTTTCTTGTCAGGAACCTTTAAATAACTCATATCAGGCACACTTCTCTAAAATGAACATAATAATCATTTATCGTGGATTACCGTAACTGCCCCCAGTCCTATACCCATTGAAATCAACAGGAATTACGCCACTGGCTTAGATGGCAGAAAGACTGGGCCATACTCTATATTCCCCTAAATGAAATAAACACTTTTTCTAACTCTATGTTCCTTGCTTCTACATTAATGTGCTCTGGTTATCCCCAGGTAGCAGTTCAGCCTTTCGGCAGCTGCTACCAGTCAGAATATTTACTGTTAAACTGTACCAATAACTGACCTGGACTATTAAGTCAGCCCATGGTCCTGCAAGATGGGAGGGGATTAAACGTGGAGAAAATTTAGCTTCTCCCCCAAGGTGACACAAGTAGAGCTTGGCTACAGTGGAGGATTCAGTCTTCTGACTTTATATCTTTCACTAAATATTTGTGTGCATTTATGGTGGTGTATTAATATTTAATAAAAATAATAATAGGATTCTGGATGAGAATGTAGATGCAATATAGCTTCTGCTTTGTAGGATAGGATATGATTACAGTTTTTAATGGAAATATTGCAAAAATGAATGATGCGCATTATAAAAAGTAATGCTCTTGTCTTTCATTTTAATGGAATTTTTTTATGCCAGTCTCAGCAATACCATAATTGCTAAATTTACCACCAGTCACACAATTCCCCATGCTGTCTACTTTTGTGATTCTTATCCTGAGTTTTTTTATCTTTGGCATTTATCTTATAGTCCTAGGTCCTGAGGACATGTGATTTCCCATGGGATTTCCAGCCTCCATTTAAAAAAAAAATGTTTCTTCCCCA